TCTCTCTCTCTCTCTCTCTCTCTCTCTCTCTCTCTGAATATTCGGACGTTGTGAAAAGTGCGATCAAAGTACGTTGCCATCTCGAAAAATATCCGTGAATTAATTTTTCGCTCTACTTTATCATAATTGTCGGAAAACCTAACCGCATGTAATCATTGTAACTTTTCTACAAACTTTTCGTATCTTTTTTGGCATTGAAACTAAATTCTAAAAGTATAGTAGATTTTTTAAATTTTCCTGATTAGAGCATCCACAGTTTCAGTATGTACAACTTGCAGAATGTTTGTATTAAATAAATATTGCATTAACTGACAGCTCAAAATTTAAATTTAAACATATTTTTTTTGTTTTTGTCATATGTTGAGCAATGTCCCAATTAATTCTTGCATGTACTTTTGTTGTGTAAAAGTATTTGTAATTCTGTGCAAGCAACGAGACATAAACTTTACAAAAAAAGTCAATGTTATGTCGATAAAGTTTTCATGTCCGACATCCCTTTAAAATCAGTAAAAATTGACAGCGTTAAGACAATAAATTTAAGAAGAAAGCAAGGACATGTGAAATCATAGGTTCCAAGAAATTTGGAATTATATTTTTGTGGACATGAGGGGCTTGTCACACATTTTTATTTTTATTACTTATTTTTATTTTATTATTTATAAGATATCTATTGATAATATATATTGTAGATAATATACATTCAAGTGTGCTTACTGCTGCAAGTATTTCTGTTCCCGTTACTGCATTGCCGATAGGTTACACATCAATTGCAATTAGATGACCATTTATGTCCGCGGGCGAATTGTCTCCACTTTTAGATTTTCATATTTGGAAAGAAACAAAAACGAAAAAAATAAATAAATAAATAAATAAATATATATTATATTATATTATATATAAAATAAGTAATAAAAATATATTATATAAATTTTATATTTATAAATAATAAAAATAAATAAATAATAAAAACAAAAATATATAGCAAGCCCTCCACACATATCGCTAAATGTAATCCAAATTTCTTAGAATCTATGACCTTATACAATATCTTAGTTTCTTATTTAATTTATTTTGAATACTGTTAATTTTTATTGTCGTAAGATTTTTCATTAACTTGTACAATAAGAAACAAAAAAAATGTGTGAGCTCCTCATGTTCCCAAAAATTTAATTCCAAATTTCTTGAAACTTATAATCTCATACGTTCTTGCTTTCTTCTTGAATTTACTTTTTTAATGTTGTTAATTTTTACCGATTTTAAGGATTTCAACTTGTACAAACCGAGATGGGCTTCTGAGATGACCTCTTGTCAGTCAAAAGCTTATTATATGTTGACATTCGGGGGCGAGGAGACAGAGAGCGACTCTGGCGGCTTCTTGCTCGCGAAATTAAAGAACACGTAGAAATGCGATCGACACGGCCTTTATGCAACATCCCAAAGACGCCCTTCCCTCTCGCTCCACATCCCAAATTCACGGACAAGTTGGACGAGAAATAGGTCGGGACCCTCGCATGCGAGCTCTCGAGGGGTAGATTTAGATTTCCGATATTATTTGCTTTGTGCCGCGCTATACGAACAGGAGACGGAGGAGAAGGGGGAAGAAGAGAAAGAGGACAGATACAGTGAAAGGAACTGTGCAAATCCTCGGGAGGAAGAGACGAACATACTAGCGGAAGGATACGGGGTCGTTCTCCCCTCCTGAGAATCGCCTCGCCTATAATAAGCTCAAACGATTGCCTCGCGAAATTGCTTTTCTTCAAACAGAAGCGTTTGATGTCGCAGCCTCTCCTTTTTGACAGATCGTAATCGCGCGCGTGCTTGGCGAGAACCCGTGAGCTTTGCTGAGCGCCGTTGCAAGGTTTCACCATCGGAGGCTCTTTCGAATCGCCGGTATTTTGTATTCATGGAGAAATGGGCGACATGAAAATTTGTTCCGCGCATAGGGCATAGACGATTATAGTGCATAGAAAATAATCCTATTATCGCGGTATTAAATAGCACGGTATTAACGTTGCGTATTCACAAAGCGCACGAGGAGCGTTCTGTATGATTCAGTAAACATAATCCTCGAGCAATACGGACAAAGTACACAAGCAATATCAACGAAGTACACGAACGATTCTCGTGTAAATGCAACTAATTAATACTATCGATTAATATAGCACGACGAAATCATATTTAAATGTCGATATGGTACTCAGAAATGTAGAGAGAGAGATAAGTATTTTCGATTTATAAAAATTCTCGCCAGCAAGGGATTAGATCCCAGTAAACACAAAGTATCATCTATATTACAATGTCAGCTCAATGTCAGCTATATTACATAGCTGTTACTTTGTTATATAAAAATAATATGCCATATGATTGAGCCGACTTTGTAACATCGATGATACTTTATGTTTACAGATGTGATGAAAATAATTTTGTGTTATATCAGAACACATCAAAAGATATTAAAGTTTTTCACTCACTACTACGAAGTGAAAGTAGGACTTCACGCGAGCTTTTATCATGGTTCTGCTTGCAGCTCCTATACATCCTGCACACTCTATAGGACAGCCATCAGGCACCGATAGATTCTCCACGGGAATGTCTGGCCCTGGATTTGTTGACGGGTAAATATATAGCACTTCTGTATCTATGACATAAATATAAGATTACTTGGAAACTATTCTTCTTTATTCACACGAGTAAGTATAGCTATACATAATACTATCAAGAAGATATAAAGCATCTGGACACGATAACGCAAATCAACTTGAAGAAAAAATTTACATACCAAATGAACTATACTCGGAACTCACATTCTCCCTTCTCTTTCATGTAGTATTTAATCGAGATATATCAGCGTTTAATATTGCTTCTCGTGTAACGGATAGCAGCTTGCAGTGCTAATGAGAAAGTATCTTTTATGTTTTTCAAAGACAAAATCAATCTTTCGTTCGGGAAAAATGTTTATGCGATTATCGAAAGTTAATAGTCGACGCTTCGAATGTTTACTAATCACACATTAAAATTGAACCGGCATGTATAACGTTCGTATAATTTACTGAGCACATTTAATGCGTCATAACAAAATCTAAGACGATATTACAAGAAATTACTATGCAGCAAATGAAATAGCAGCAGAAAGCCTACCTAACAAAGCCGTGAACTCTCTGGACACGAATTTCGTTGATCGACGTCGATAGCGCGATTTAAGCTGGTGGCACATAGAAAAACTTAAGCAGTAAGACGTAAGCAGTAAGCGAATCAGCCAATCACAGTCGTTGATTCTTGGACCGTAAGAAGAATTAACAACTGTGATTGGTCAATTTGCTTACTGCTTAAGTTTTTTTGTGTGCCACTAGCCTTACATTAAGTTCATGACGCCAACTTATAAGAACGCGACTAGTAACGACATCTGTCGTTGATTCGCATCGTTGATGGGTAGATATTTAATCTGTAGCGCAAATGTAACATTATTTGAAAACATTTATCTGTATGATATGATACTATGATCGGTAATAGTCAGATCTTATATTTAAGAGTGTCTTAAGTTCACACCTTCATATACTGCATAGCCAATGAAATTATCCATACAACATCTGGGCCCATATTCTTGAAATTTTTGCGTATGCGTAATAACACGTAATTTTCATTGTGCAGCTGTTTTATGATATGATTAAACCTGCGCAGTAAAACTTACGTATACGCAACTATTTCAAGAATAAGGACCCTGAAGATGAACTTAAGACGAGCTTAAATATAAGAACCGACTATGAATACCAGCCTATAATACTCTATCAGTAAGACACAAAGCATCGGAGGACAATAACGTCCTATCCAATCGAACAAGAAATGTGCATTCCAATTGAGCTATTTCTAGAAATGTTATTCTCTCTGCTCTTGTGTCATATATTATTTATATTTGTCATATATTAACGTGTGACATTACTTTTCATACTATAACCGTGAGCAACTTGTATTGCCAAGGAGAGAATAGTTTTTGTATTTTCCGAAAACGAAATCTATCTTTTATATCGAGGAAATGTTTATTTGATTACTAAAACGTGCATGAAGCAAAGTTTGTATTGCTTGCACCTTTGACATTTTTACATTCTAATGTCCGTTGCACATTGATCTCTCCTTAAAATCTAAAATCTCTCTTTAAAAATAAGAACTCTCATTGGATTTCGCTCATTGTTTCTGATGTACAACAGGCATTGGGTGCAAAAGTGTCAAAAGTTCAAGCAACGCGAACAAATTTATAATGAAATAACGACCGATATATTGGATCGCAAGTTTGGATTGAGTCGACATATATATCGACATATATACATAAATGTTCGCATAATTTACTAAATATTTAATGTGTTATAACTAAAACCTAATACGATTAGCATAAAAACTTACTGGTAAGTCTACTAAGTAGAATAATAATTAGAAAAACTTACAAAACTCTACGAAACGGTAAACTTTCCGAGCGACGAATGTCGTTAGTCAAGGCCGATGGCGCGTTTTGCAGTAGATTCAACTAAGTTTTAACGTAAACTTTTAGGGAGAACTCACACCTTAGCAGAAAATTAGGGAAAACTAAAAGGCAGAACTCGCGCTGGTAGAAAGCCAGAAACTATTGGCTGCGTTCAGCAGAGAAAGCTGCTTTGCAACTGTTGTAAAATTCGTCAATCTGATTGGAATATGCTCTTAATTTTTGTTGGATCCAAGAGCATGTACCAATCAGATTCACGAATTTTACAATAGTTATAAAGCAACTTTTTCTGCTGAACACAACCATTGTCTACCACCGGATCACCAGCACGAGTTTTAATTGACTTCTGTTTTTCTTCTTTTTTGCCGAGGTATGAACACAGATTTCTATATACTACTAGATACTGCTCTCTTTAACTCTAACTCAGTACATAACTCCGAAAAATATGTACACATGGCTAACCAATAGACGCATGCGCCTATCTGGTGGTCCAACATTCACAATGTAGCATCTCGTTTAAGGCATTATTGCACTCTGATGTAGGTATACAATTGATCAATCACTTATTTTTACAAATTTTTTACTGTAATGTCATTCTGACGTTTCATTCTGACGTTTTTCACTCTGTACGTACACAAATATTTAAGCAGGCGGCATCGGCCATATTACATTATATCCCCTCTTCTTCTGGAACACCAGTTTCAAGCATGCGCAGATACCTTTTTTCCCGTGATACATACTTTTCAATTTTAGCACTATATCAATCATAGCACTATATAAAAAAGTTAAGATCTTTGCACAATGCGAGAGAATAGCGATAGCGTATTAGAAATAACACATACAATAGGAATAGCGATAAGAACAAAGAAATCCAACATTCGACAATGCATATGTCAATGCAGATCGGAACACGGAATAGGCAATAGCGATAAAATTTCCGACAAGTTGAAAATCTATGTCTATCGCCTTATAATCTACAAATCACAGCGCTCGGATTTTTCATTCTGTTTATATACGCTATATCGCTTTAATCTTTTTTCGCACACATACGATCAAGTTCAGTTTCGAGTCAACTTGTCAACTAGTTTGATTAAAAAATAGGTCATTCCAATTATTATAAAAAAAATAATTTTCTGGATGATGAATTATTGTCCAACATACAAGATACATACAAGATACGTTTGATGCAATAATGGCAACCAAGTGAGCGATAATATAAAATTCGGCGATGAATTTCTAATGGACCTTGTACAAAATCGCCCTTACTTAAATGATAAAAACATAAAAGATTAAAGGGACGCAAAACTGAAAGATGTTTGCATTGTGCAAATAAGTGACATTTCATCTTTCATTTTACTTAAATATAATTTGCGTGAAAATATAATATGCACAACAATATATACATATGAAAACATTTCAGATATATTTTCTCTGTAATATTTTAGTTCAAACACAATAAAACATACGTACCAAAATTTGCTAACGTAAACCTGAAAAAATATTTAAAGGTAATTTTTATATAATATTACAATCAGTGTTGTAACATATCTAAATACATGTATCTTTTTGCAGTATCTAGATACTTTTTGTGTATCTATATCTGTATCTAGTTATATTTTTTATTTCAAAATCTGTATCTATACATTTTATCTCATATCTGTATCTAAATTTGTCATTTTAGATACAGATACGAAATAAAATGCAATTTTTGTGATTTTATATATAATTGTTACTTTTTCACAAGAGACAAAGTTGTTTCCATGCTGTAAGAATATAGGGTGATGCATTCCGGTGGATGCGCAGTAGCTATCAATCAGAAAGATGCCACAAATGCGAAAAACTCAATAGCTCTCATCAGACGTAACGTAAACATAATATATTTTGTGGTAATTTTCTGATTAGTTCTACTCCGACTTTCATGATGTGCAATAAAACATCTTGGCCGTGTTCCGTTTCATGTATATGCGCGCATTTATCTACAATTCACGTCACATATATTATAGGGAATGCGCGCATAATGTGTGAAACGGAACACAACCCTTATATTCTTACACCATGGTTACTTTATTGGGTGCGTTCAGCGAACTCAACAGTTGCACAACAGTTGAGTAATTCGTCAATGTAATTGGTCCAGATTTAGGGATCTAACAGTAAGAACCAATAATCACTGATTGCTCACTGAGCGCTTTTTCCGCTGAACGTGCCCCTTGGATGCATTCAATATCACAACCATAGATTTACATAATAACATAATATACATAAAGTCCGCATACAGTCAGAAAAGAGAAGCCAATATGTACAGCCCCTCTGTTCTCTGTCTCTTTCTGCACAGACAAAGTGTGCAATAAGATTTAAGTAAAACTTTTATTTGCTAGCCTAGTCGGGGTGTTGTTGCGCTCTATAATATTATGGAAACGAGAAATGGATGCACGCACAACAAAAAAGTGACAAAATAAGAAGAAAACTATAGCCCTTCTATTCTCGCTCTCATTCTAAATGTTGGCTTCACTCTATTAAACGACAGAACACAGGGCATTCGGAGTCCATAGGTGCGTTCGGGGAGCTCGCTATTAGCGCTATTCAGCGCTATAGTGTCATTCTATCCTTGTTGTATATCTAAGGAGCAATAAAGATAGAAGAACGCGATAGCGTTAATAGCGTGTTCCCCGAACGCACCCCATGTATACTATGTCCATGACTATAACTACTCACTGAGCGCTCAGTGAGCTCTTGTATTCTATTGGCATATTCTTTTAGATCTAAAAATATGTACCAATGAAATGTAAGAGCTCACTGAGCGCTCCGTAATCGAAGTATCTGAAAAGTATCTGAAGAGATTTAAATACATTCTCAAAGTATCTGTATCTACATCTAGTCCCATACAGCATAGAAGCTTGCAATTACGTTGCAGGAACGTTACATCATTTCAAATTTCAACGTAACATTGCAGAAACATAACATAGACATGGAATTGTAACATTCCATCGGAAATGTTAAAACAATATTGCAGAAACAATATAAATAATTAAAAACTATAATGCTATAATTTATGCATAACACATGTCTGATATATGCGTTTTGTATCTTAATCACAGAAAAAAAAATTTAAATATTCACTTATATATCTATATTTTCTTATATCTTTATTATACCTTTATAGCGTCTGCATGCTGCGGTATCTATTAGTCTGTTCTTTTCAGCTGAAGTGGCTGCGCTAGTTAAAAAATGTATATACATATTAAAGCATATGAAACATATGTACGAAAATCTCATGTTTTATTCTGTGTACATTTCTTGAACTAGTGCAGTCAAGTTAATTAAAAAGAACAAACCATATAACGTGCGACCTTTATTTGTACATTTAACAAAAAATGCAGTTTAACTTTATTATGCGTTGCCAGCAGCTTTGTAAGATTTTCTACTGAACGACATCGGTGGTTTACGCTAACATGTTTACTAAATAGTCGCTAACATATGTTTCTTTTAACATATGTTAAAAGAATATTTAACACGCCGGACCACTTTTAATAAACATGATGGAAAAGCGTTAACCGCTAAGTGTTTCTCAACAGAAATTTTTACAACAGTTGCAAAATTGCTAACAGTCCAGTGAAAAGTTACTTCTTCTGCTCATTAGATTATATTTTACCGTAACGTTACTACATTGCGACGTTTCTAAGGGCGGACATTTCAACATTGCTACAACCTTGCGGTAATGTTGCATGAATGTTTCGCAACATATATAGAATGTTACAATGTTTCTGTGTATCTATGCAATGTTCCTGCAACTTTTCGGTGCTGTATGGGGTTATTCATATGAAATTCGTATCTGTATCTTCATCTAGCTACATTTTTCTTACTGTATCTATATCTATACTAGCTACTTAAAAACATATATCTGTTACAACACTGATTACAATTTATCTATTAATAAACTTCAGCTTTTTGATGTTTTTAAGTTACGTTTATCTAAAGCAGATAAAAGAGCCGACTACAGTCTATATATGGTTTGATTGGTTGATCTTTATTTCTTTCGCGGCATTGTGCAACGGGAGGCGACAATTATATATCGCTTATTTCTATACTATTCCTATCGCTGTTCTTATCGCTGTTGCCTAGCATTGTGCATAGGGCTTTAGCAGTCTAGTAGTGATATAAAAGTCTGTGAGTGTGGATTCTTCTTCATTCATGGCGTTACGCCGCTTACAAAATCGCGACTGGTAACGACATCTGTCAGGAACTCGCGTCAACAACCTCTGACTTGGCGGCTGTTTACGGCGCGTCTCAACGCTAGTTTACAAACGGACACCGGGTGTGGTGTAGAGAGAGATGAGCGCGGTGTCTGTATGAGCTTCTAACCAAATGTTTTGACAGTTATTTTGTAAATTATGAAGCTACTCTTGTACCTAGTATTGTTACAAAACACGTGTATTTTTGTACGAGTCGTAAATAGCACCGAAAACGTTAACGCGACGGGTACGAGGTAATGCGCCGTGATGTCTTATTGTTTCCAGGTTATACCGGAAAGATGTATTTTTTTTGTAGATAACTCAGTTTCTCAATCGTGCACTCGATAGCATTGATAAAGTGTCTGATAGCTCGAGATAATGATTGACTTGTTCTCCTCGCTTCATCGCAACAAGAAGCTCTAATCGGTCCGGAAAAAATTGAACTTTTCTGTATATTTGTTGAGGTTATGTTTTGAAATAGTCAGCTGCTTTTTTATTATAAATCATCACATAAAAGTGTCATGAACGATAATTGTCACATTAGTTATCGACATAATTTTAATGAAAACATCGAAAATTAACTTGTATAAGATCCAGGATGCAAGAAAGCACTAAACAGAAATATAATATCTCTTGTTATTGCATTTTTGTATTAATAATTAGTGTTATACAACATAACATTGTATTTTTATGACAGGAGCATGGGAAATGCAGACATGTTGGACATCTCAAGCAATGGGATGTCTACACCTCACATCTCTCATCTAGCATCCGCGAATCCCTTCAGCATACTTTCGCCAAGTCCACAGCCAACTAGCTCACAATCCAGCACCATGGATTTTAATACAATCGGCGGCCTTACTAATGGCAATATGCAATTCCCTCCTAATGTGAATTTTGATGAAATATCAGGCATAAGTTCAATTCCAAACAGAAAGGACAATCATAAAGGGACTTGCGAGGTTTGCACATGATTACACAGACATATATAACAAAATCTTTCTCTAAGACTGCAGTAAATCATAAAGTTGTCAAATTCTTCCAGGTGTATATAGGAAAAACGTGTGCCCAGTTTGTAGGAAACCAGTCAGTTTACATTATATATCCCATGACGCAGAAAATGCTCGAAGATAAATTAATGAAGGCATTTCAAGTTATCAACTTCTCAAAGTAAGCATGTTATGAAATCATGAAGTATGTTGACTCTTTTCTAGTGTGTATACAAATTAACACAAAAGTAGTGTATATTAAGTCAATGGAAAATTTTAAATGATTCTATTTCTTATTGTGTAGCGAGCTGTCCTCAAATTGCGAAGGATACGCGAAACCGTCTCTTTGTTATTCGGCCTTTCCTATATGCCGCGACCAGTCTAACAATCAAAAGCCCAAGAACACAGAGGCGAGTACGCAGCTATTCAACCTTCTGAACTCTAAGCAGGATGACATCCTGGACGATGGGGATCGCGACGATGTAGACGACTTTGCGCGACTGCACGGAATTCCTAAGAAACGTAGCCCAACATCGGGCCCGGTTTTCGACTTCATACCCAACGAGGACGGCAAGTCGTACAACAAGAAAATAATCAATCAGAGCTACGGGGACACGCGTTCAGCCGGCCGAAACGAAATCAATCGTAAATTACGAAGGATATGTCGGGAGGAGTGTGAAATGCTGGAGAACGAATTGTGTAGGAAGGAATACGCGATAGCGAAAAGGCATCCATTAATCGGGCATCAAGTGCCTTTGGTTGAATGCTCCGACTTGCCACTAAAGGGGACGACGGAGGCTCGCGATTGCTTAACGCTCGGGTTATCCGCGGCGAACAATGTGCAGGAGAGTACGTACTTTTCCGCATCGATACGCATTAAGTGTTAAAATCGATCATCGGAGACCAGAGGAAATTATGTTAGATTCTTTATGTATTCCTTGCAGATGACTACTGCTATTGGGGTAGTGGGAAATCCTATCGAGGAACTATCAAAACAAGCGTCAGTGGAAAGCCGTGTTTGCAGTGGTCTCATCACTTCAACCTTCAGATTTCTGATTATCCCGAATTAGCCGGACGTCATTCTTACTGCCGAAATCCGGGCGGGAAAGAGTCTCAACCATGGTGTTACGTCGACGTCAATAAGAGAATGCAAAAGGAGTTTTGCAATATACCTAAATGTGGTAAGTTTTTAGAATATGCCCGATGAATATACACTTATCTAATACCTATTATATTACATGAAGACCTTTTCGAAAAATATATATTTCTCTTCTAGTTGAGAATTTGTGGATTTACGCGGTCGTTGGGTTTGTAATAATGGGAGGTTTCGTTACCATATTCATATGTTATTGCTGCTGCTATAGAAGTAGAAAATCCAGAAGACAGATGAATCACTTACCGTCGAATAAAGTAAGTGTACTGATATTACTTTCGCGAATTACAAGTGATGAGTGTAGTTGGTGACGTTAAAATAATATAATTATTTTGACTTCGACAGATGTTAACTGGTATCCAGTGTGATAAGAACATATACGATGGAAGAAGAAGCACGACACAACCCATGGAAATGAGTTCTCTTTTGGCAGGGCCTGGTAATACGACACCGGGCACCGGTACCCTTAGCAGTGGTAGTAGCAGAACTTCTAATAATAGGATACCCCAATTTACTACAAATAACGTCGTGCTCTTGCAAGAACTTGGCGAAGGTGCATTTGGTAAGGATAGAACAATTGTATACTTCCTGCCGTTGAGATTTGACCAACAATTTACACATTAAAATATATATTAATAGACAAATAAGAGCCAAATACTGATCTTGGAGCGAATATTTTTAATAATGTTGGGAAAATAATGATGTTTGACAGTGTCAAAGACTGGAAAACTTATCCGGCGCGTGCATTGTCAAATATTATTAAAAATATTCACTCCAAGATCAGCGTTTGGCTCTTATTTGCCTATTAATATGTTTTAATAAGTTGTATACTTTTGAGAGTCTGTGTATTGTATAAAAATTTACGCATTAAATTAATATCGATTATTTATGCAGGGAAAGTTTACAAGGGCGAGCTGCAGACCGGTAATAAATGCGAACCACCCATTTATGTAGCGGTGAAGACACTGAAAGAAAATGCGACTCCAAAAACTCAAAGCGACTTCAAACGAGAAGTTGATCTCATGACGGACCTGAGGCATCCGAATATTATTTGTCTGCTTGGCGTGATATTGAAAGGCGAGCCGATGTGTATGCTCTTCGAGTACATGACTCAAGGAGATTTACATGAATTTTTAATCTGCCATTCTCCGAGATCAGACGTACCGTTGAACAACAGCGGCGGAAAAATTTTAGAGCAACCGGAATTCTTGCATATCGCGTTACAAATTGCATCAGGTAAATAGCAATTATTACTTTATAACACAAATATTTGATTGTATATTATATATTGCATAACATGTTTAATTATGTTTCCATAACTTTATTATATATACAATAATTATTTGTCTGTCGTAGGCATGGAATATTTGGCTAGCCATCACTACGTCCACCGCGACTTGGCAGCACGAAATTGCCTAGTAGGCGATAACCTAACAGTCAAAATCTCAGACTTCGGTCTATCGCGAGACATATACAGCAGCGACTATTATAGAGTTCAATCGAAGAGTCTGTTACCCGTTCGATGGATGCCGCCCGAGTCAATTCTTTATGGCAAATTCACCACTGAGTCGGACGTGTGGAGCTTCGGGGTTGTGCTTTGGGAAATCTACAGCTACGGCTTGCAGGTAAAAATCAAATGATCATTGACCCAAAAACGCTAACTTATTCCTAGATATTTTTACATTAATATCTATATACTGTACTTATTTCAGCCGTACTACGGATACAACAATCAAGAAGTTATTGACATGATTCGCTCACGACAGCTGTTACCATGTCCCGAGGACTGTCCTACGATGATTTACAGCCTGATGATCGAGTGTTGGCACGAAGTGGCGAATCGCAGGCCTCAATTCCCGGAAATCCACCATCGCCTACATAATTGGTACATAAATCAGACATATTTGAGCGACTTTTGTAACGAGTCGATCACCAGTTACTCCGGCAGCAGTCACAAAAGCACGAACAAGACCAACTCGACACAGCTGTCGGCACCTATATACAAGAGCGATCAGAAAACTGGTACGGAGCCGCCGGCGGTCTGCAATCTGAACGATCATAGTAACTCATTGAAGATGCTACCGCCGCCAACGACCTTTCCGAACTCTAACTGCATCGAGCAGAGGCCGAATTGCGCTTTCAACGAACACGGAACGCCGATGAAAACGCCTAATTATCAGAATCCCACCACGAATATCAATCTAAATGACGTTTACGACGACAAGCAGTGCTGTTCGCCAAAATTGAGCGGCGCAAAGAAGGTCTTACCCGCGGTGCCTCAGGTGGGCGGCAAGCCAAACGTGCCCAACAACGGCAGACCGATGCAAAACGGCGCGCAATTGGTCGTCAGGTTACCAGATCCCAGTAAAGTCACGACCGAGACCAGGGTATCGAAGTGAGTACACGCGTTCGAGAACATGCGACGTCTCGTTCGTTTGCTGCGACTGATCATTGTCTGAGCATCGATAACAGCATATGCGCATCCTCGCGCTACTGATAATATTTTTTCGGTGCAGTAACGGTATTTCGTGCTTGATTAGCGATATTTGTCGATAAATTGAGCTATTGAAAAGCGATCACTACACAAGTTGAATACAATTCACATACGCCTCGGATAATCGAGATATACCGAAATGTATCAGACTGTGGTATCACATCGACTAGTTACTACTGCTATTTTACTCGGTTTTTTTTATATATATAATTAAGATACCGACAAAATATCGTTAACGCATTACGGAGCATCGTTGCAGGATAGATACAAGTAACACTCAACCACTGCCATATACGTGTATCTCTGCGCTATCAATGAATACTTTTTCGGGACAAACAGAATAGATACAAATAACATTAATCACTGCCATATATGTGCATTTATTTATTTTTACGAATATACGCGTATTTTATATTGCCTTTTACTTTGAATGTCTGTAAGCGTCTCACGTAACACGGTAGCTTAACGCGTACATACGCAAGACATAAATGTCCTGCCCTAACATGATTCTATTCGCGACTTTACCCAGGACAAGATAAAATTTATAAAGTATATTTATACCTTTCTATTTTTACGAGAAAATCGAGATATTTATGGTAAGAAATTATTTATGGTTTATCCGTAAGTTGTACAAGAAGCAACAAACGATTAGTGAATCATTATTGCTTCTATTCCACAAAAAAGAACAGAAAGCAGAATACGTTATCGACAAGGGTTGATATTTTTATTAAACTAATTAATCATTAAAACTGACATTAAAAATCCGTGTTTAATCATGCATGCTCTGTCTAAAGAGTATAATATTGTGTGGAATACTGTTATGCTCTATACAAGGTATACCCTATGTGGATCCCTATGTGAATCATGTTTTTGAATAATCTTTACACAACTGTTCAAAAAGATTTGTATGCGAGCACGTGCGACCGCATATATATTGTAATAAGCAGAAATGAGAGAGTGAGATTGAGTGAAAATGACGAAAAGTATGCATGTTAAGTGTGTCTTATGAATGTGCGTTAAGATGTTTTTAAAAAGCAATTTTTATAATCATCATATCGTATGCCAAAACCTGGATAGTGAATATTGATTGTTAACAAAAAGAGAAAGGTATTCAATTTGTACATTTTCATAATAATTGCACACGTATTTTTATCTGTAAATCTCTTTGAGGTCGCTCTTTTATTGGAAAAACGTAATTTATTGCTGCAAATGTACTATATATATACGTTAATCGAAAGATATTTTATTTAAATATATGCAGAACGCTCTTCTAATATTCTTCTCAGTCTTTTTCTGAGTGTACACTCGTTTGCATAACGGTTTGCTCGCGTTCTTTCCAATCATGTTAGAAGTGCGTTAAATGCTCACAATTGTAAGATATCTTTATATGTTGTAAAATTTTTTTTGAGAATTTTTTGTGCCTTTTGACACTTTTAATAGAAGATGATAAAAAATATATCTGAGAAATTGACATACTTTTTTTTCTCGAGACTGAGGAGGATACGCAGTCGAAGTGCATGAGAGTAAATTAATTTATTATAGTTCATGGCTTCCCTATGTCACTGCGTATTTTAAGTATCCACAGATACTTGATATTAGTATGTCAGGAATGCCATTAGATTTTCAATTACGGCTTTATTTCTCGAGATATTTTAGTTAAAAGTACGATCACAAAAACTCTAGAAAAGTTGATAGCGTCGCGATCGTCATATATCATGAACATAGTCATCCTCGAAGGATATTCATCTTTATGTATATTGACGTCGCGACGCTACTACGTCACTTGATAATTGTACACCGCAATTGTAACGAGTGAGGTGAAATTTATCACGGCAAAATGCCTCGAATGCTTGTTATTTTTCTCAGTCGCGTGCTCCAAAGTAATCCCAGACCTCGAAGATGCGAATGACTGAAATTCGATGCTCGTGAACATTCGGCGATATTAAATAGAGAACTGTCTCAGAGCGTTCGTATGTAAATTATATGTTATTCGTGTATAGGACGTAGTAGTACGTACATCCTGACAAGCGCTAAAATACTGCTTGCGTCGATCCTCGATCGATCATCTATCTGATCATCCGACGATAAACTTCGCGAAATCGATGCCCGCTCTCAACCGAAGTAACAAATATTAACGCTGAGCGATTAGGTAGCGGAGATGTAGAATTGAAAAAGAAAAGCATCTGAAGGAAAACTGTATTATACTTTTTGTAATTTTTTATTAACGAAGAAAGAGCGTTCCGTTCGCGTTGGCGTGAAAATGTGAATGAAAAAGAAAAGAAGACTGGATTTAATAAATACTGACTCATCCCGAGGACTTTTAGCTGCCACGTTCGTTGACTGGATGTGTATGATCGCGATGATCAGAGAGTGGCGTGAAAATGCTATTGATTTAAAGATAAGAATTTCTAAAACTGACGAACCTCCGAATCGAAATTTGTATCGACTGATAATCCCGACCGCCTCGAAGGTTTGCCACGGAGACCTTAGACCTAAGTTAATTTATGTCGAGTAAACTCTTCAGCGAAGAATTATACACTTAAGAACTTTATATATATTCAGTCAAGTATAATATACATTTCATGTTTTTCGTATAATGCAGCCGGTCATTCCTTTCCCTCTCTAAGGACGCGACGAAAATCAATCACCCGGGATAAAAGCTTACCGTGTAATTTACCGTCATCACTTACCAAGATCGTCATCGTTACTATCTTCAATGGAGTAAGTCGAAGAAACATGATTAACATTTATGAAGGCAATATAAATAGCAAATTTTAGACGATTCTTATTATTTACGCACGCGCGTACTTCTTAATTATTTTCTAAATTTCTCTATTTCAACAATAATGTACGTTACTTATTCGTGTAAGGCATATACTATCATTGAAATTTTAATTATAAGAATGAAATTAACGAACACAAAAATAAAAATGTATAACAATAAGATATTTATTATATAATCTTTACAATATAGGACAAATATTTCATTTTTCGGTACGAATATCTTTGAATATTTACCCGAGATAAGTTTATCGAAATATAAAAAATTTTCTAAAAAAGTAAGGCAGAAAAAAGGATTGTATTAAATCGAAGCGTTTTCTATATTAATTGTAAGTTAATATATATATGTATATATAATGTATACGTAATATACATATGTATAATATATATGTAATATATACATATAATATGTGTATATGTATATAATGTATATGTAATATATATATTGTATATATATATATATATGTATATGTATATATATACACATACTATATATATATAATTTATATTATTTATATATTTTATATATATATATATATATATATATATATATTATACATATATTATACATATACTTGTATATGTATACATATGTGTACTTGTATACATATATATATACACATACATATATATAATATAGCTGTAACAAATGTTCGATACTTAATAACGCAAGTTGCGCTACTGATTTGCGTACGTAACGCAAAATATACGTGCTGCACAGTTTCCTATGTATTCACGACTTTAATATGAAATGATATTGAATATGCTCGTGTATAAACTGTAAAATAGATTTGTAGATACTGTAGATTATTATCAAGGTAAGTATTATAAGGCGGCTTCGATAATAACAGTACGCATTTAATCGACGATCAGCGTACTGCAAGTTACTTTGTGACCTCATGTATGGCATGCGCCAAATATTCTATGTTCTTCGACGTCACACCAGCCATGGAAATCCGACCGTCTTTGGTCAGATAAATACTAAAATCTTTCGTGAGTCTCTCCACCTATCGAAAAATCAACAAGAAATGAAAGATGAAACGACAGAATCGATATAGCAATTTTTTTCTTACTAAGATAAATGGATATAATTTAATTTTAATTTAATTTACTTCAAAACTAAAAATTAGAAAAAAAAACATATAGGCTATTCTTACTAAAATATACAGATATAACCTAATTATTCTTTGATTTTCAATATTCTCTTAATAATAAAGATTGAAATTATCTTATTTAATTAGAGAATAAATAAGAATAGTTAACTGTAAATACAAATATATAACTGATCTAGAAATTTTATCTAATATGTAATGACAGAGAGATAACACTCACTTCGTTCGGTTTGAGGCCAGTGTAGCAGAACATGCCGATCTGATCGGTAATGTGCGACCAGTCGCGGGTGCTGCCGTTTTTCTTCAGATTGTCACGTAACTTCGTGCGAACCGAGATAATGCGATCAGCCATACCCTTCACATCGCGCAGCCACTCCTTCCTCAGCTCCGAATCGCCCAAGATCTCGTTCACGATTCTAGCACCATTAATCGGTGGATTCGAGTACATCGGTCTAATCAAAATCTTTAACTGTGATAGACACCGTGCAGCCTCCTCTTTGCTATCACACACCAATGTAAACGCTCCGATACGTTCTCCTAAAAAATGAGATAACACGAATCCAACTTATATACGAATTAAAATTCAAACATGTTACTTAACCATTATAAACATAGCAGGCTGTTGTATCTCTATACTTTCTTATATTAGATTTTATATATATACAGGGTGTCCCGCCCTATATATATATAAGGTGTGCCAAAAGAAAAATATAAATGGAATAGATAAAAATGAACAAAAATTGTAGAGGTTTTTTCCAAACAACCACATAAAATTTCGAGATATTAATAAAAATAGTTGGACAAATTAGAGCGCGCGACGCGACATACGGCTTGCCGCGGCCGGCGAAGAAAATGGACGAGCGCACACGTACACAGACGCATACACGGAGCTACCCATTTCCATATGCCAAACGGCTCATCTCTCTGGCCTATAAGATAGAGCAATCGCGAGCAATCGTCCATTTTTTCGCCAGCCGCGGCGAACCGTATGTCCCGCCTGCCGCGTCGCTGCGCTTTGATACGTCCAACTATTTTAATTAATATCTCGAAATTTTACGTGATTGTTTGAAAAATGACCTCTACAATTTTTGTTCACTTTTATCTGTTCTATTTATATTTTTCTTTTGACACGTCTTACGTGAGACACCCTGTGTGTATGTGTATATATATATATATATATATATATATATATATATATA